TTTCTGACCTCATCCTTTTAATGTTTTCTAGTTCTGTCTTTTTAATCTTTACCAGAGGACATGTTTTTATTGATTTTAGAGAGAGAGGGATGGAGAGAGAGAGAATCATTGATGTGAGAGTGATTATCAATTGGTTGCCTCCCGCACATGCCCGGACTAGGGATTGAACCCACTACCTGGGTATGTGCCCTGACTGGGAATTGAACTTGTGACCTTCTGGTGTACAGGCCATGCTCCAACCAATTGAGTCACACTGGCCAGGGCTTTCTAGCTCTGTTTTTCTGTTTCCTATCTTTTTGTTGAACTTCCCACTAAGTTCATCTACTCTTCTCCTAAATTCATTGAGTATCGTTATAACCAGTGTTTTGAACTCTGCCATTTGGTAGATGGCTTGTCTCCATTGTGTTGAGTTCTTTTCCTGGAGTTTTGTTCTGTTCTTTCATTTGGGACATGTTTCTTGGTCTCCTCATTCTGGCAGCCTCCCTGTATTTGTTTCTATGTATTAGGTGGAGCTGCTATGTCTCCTGGCCTTGTTGAGAGTGTCCTTATGTAGTAGGTGTCCTGTAGGGTCCAGTGGCAGCGGGGCTCTGGTGCTGGCTGAGTCTGCCTCTTGAGTGTGTCGCTTGTAGAGGTGGTTGGGTGGCGCTTCATTGTGGACTGAAGCTGTCCACTGGGTGTGCTGGCCCTGGGGCCTCCTGGGAATTTCAGGCCAAGGTCAGCCAACGTGAGGTCGGCAATTCTTGACTCCTGGGCTCGTGGTTGAGTGTACACATGCTGTTACTTTCCTGAGGGTATGGAAGTAAAAATAAAATTAATGTGTAAACTTGAATTACTTTCTCCCTCTGGGCTATTGCTTTGTTTTCACTTGAAAATGAAAGGTTGACCTTAATCATTTCCAAGATAATCCTAACGTAAGATGCCTGGGCTAAGATGTCTATTTTCTGTTTCCTGTCACACAGAGCAAAATTTTAGTTAGCATCCAATGACGTTTTCATGTCTTTTTCTATAAACCTCTCCCCCTGCAAAGAAACAGGTAACTTCCCTGCATGACTTATTCCCAGGTCTCAGACTGTGTGAGTGACTGACACAGCTCTGGCATTGTTGCCCTTTCTTGTTGAAGGTTTTAAAAAATTGTGCCCTGATAGGAAATGGAGGCAGTAAAATGTGATTGTGAATTCCCTAAAGTCAATGGCAAACACAGTCTTTTCGCCTTTTGTGATGTGACATCATGTTATCCGCCAGTTACCACGCTATCAAACAACCCTGCTGGGTTTGGTGAGACTCGGCTCATCTTGCACAGCGACGGCAAAACCACCTGAATGCTTGCAATGCCTGAGCCCCACAGGGGATGAGAAAGGCTGGCAGAGAAGTTAGTCAGAAGCAAGGTCAAGCTGGGCAAATTTTAGATCCAGTCTGCAATCCTGTGTTCAGAAGGAATGTGGGAGGAGATTACAGAGAAGAACACACCACTGGGTGACTCCCTGGTTCGGGCACGATTCACAGATGGGCACAAACGTGGGTGAGGAGTGGGCTCGGAGAGTGTTTTGGGAAATCAGGGTGATGAAAGCATTGTTAATGAGCTCCCATCAGAGGGAGGGCAGTGTGCAGACCTGGCGTGGGAGAGAGATGATAAAGCATTGGTGTCTATCTGTATTAGCTTGCATGAGCTGCCATAACAAAACATCACAGACTGGGTGGCCCAAACAACAGAAATGTATTTTTTTCCCCACAATTTGGAGGTTATTAATCCATGATCAAGGTGTTGTTAGGGTGGGTTTCTGGTGACATGTCTCCTTCTGGCTTGTAGATGCCTGCCTTCTCTCTCGGGACTCACCTGGCCTCTTTTCTGTGTGCGCATCGACCTGTCCTATGAGATTAGAGACCCACCCTTATGACCCACTTTAACCTTAACTGCCCTCCTAAAGACCCTATATCCAAATAGAGTCACATTGGGGATTAGGGCTTCAACATATCCATCTTGGGGGAGCATAATTCAGACCAAAATAGTGTTCATTGCAGTTCTTGTAAATGAAGGTGAAGTGATTGTCCCCTTGGAGAGGAGGATGGAACTGATGGAGGGCCAGCTGAGTGTCAGTCATGACTGATTCATGACTTTATTTGGCTCCTGTAAAACCCTGTCATGAGAGAAGATTGAAGCTCATAGTTGTTAGGATCACCCAGATAGCAAGAGGTCCAGAAAGCATTCAAACTCTAATTTACAAGCTCATGCTACCATATCAGGGAGGGGACTTCTACTGAAACCTTGCTGAATTTTTAGGGACTGTGTCTTTAAACTTGGAGTTGCCAAGAAGCCTGCTTGGCAGGTCCATTTGGGGGTCTGGGGAGGGTCTCCGAATAGGGAAGAGACGTGATCAGAGTTGTGCTTTGGGGAGGTAACTGGCCGTGTGTGGGAGTGTGGGTGTGGGTGACTGGTGATCATCTAGAACCTGTTGCCATGACACTGTTGAGAGATAATGACAGCCAGCAAAGGCGATATAAAAAGTGCTAGATTCCCATGACATTGTGAGGTCAGAGTCAGGCTTTGGTAAATGATTGAGTGCAGGCCATGGGCAAAGGGAGGAAGTCCAGGAAGAGGCCAAGGAGAGCAACTGGGAGAACAACAGCACCTCTGATGGAAATGAAATGAGTTTGGGGGTACCCAATTCATCGGGTACCCCCAAAGCTTTCCCAGCCCCCATTCCATCAGGTGGTGAGGAGATACCTCAAGGAAGCCTGTAACTGCTTAGAGTCCAGTGCACCCCTTTGGGGGATGTTGGAGAGGATTCTTGAACTTAAGGTTAATCTATGCAGTTAATCATTACTGGTAATTATGCACTTAATAGTACATTAGGCTTAATAATTCATCAAGTGATAAATGAAGAGATAATGGGTCAGGACGGGCAGGCTGCAGGTCTGAGGGAACTTTGATTAAAGTGGACTGTTATCCCCATGAAGCTTTGAGGAGAAAAAGGTGGATCTCTAAATAGCCTGTTTTCCTCCCAGTTTCTCCTTCTTCTCTTCTTCCTCCTCCTCCTTTTTCTCCCTTCCCTCCTCCTCTTCCCCCTCCTCCTCTCCCTGTTTCTTCTTTTTCTCTGAACAAACAAAACATTTTAATGTTTGTGTTACAAGGAGGACAAGATGCAGTCTGGGCCAATAGAACTTTCACACCCTGAGAATTCCACTTACAGGCAGAGGCAATAGTAATTTATTTCTTGTGCAAATTTTAGCTGGTCCTATTCTTTTAGCAAAGGCAAGCGTGCCTACGTTGTACAACACACTGTAAAGTACAGATGACCAAGGATTAAAAGTCTTCAGTGGCACTAGCCAAAGTACACAGTTTCCCCTTCTTAATGAATGGTGTCCGCCCAGTTACTCAAGTCCTGAATCTAGGAGTGACCCTTAATGACTCTTTCCATCACTTCCCACAGTTGACCCATCAACAAGGCCCCTCAACTTTGTTACTAAAGCAGACCCTAATCTCTGCGATTGTCTTCATCTCTCCTGCTGCCACTCTCTCACCCAGATGCAACAATAGCCTCCCGCATGGTTTCTCTTTTCTCCCTTGTCCCCAACACTACACTTTCCACAGGCTTGAGAGCAATCTTTCAAAAGAAAATTAGCCCTACTTGGTTTGGGTCAATGGATAGAGGGTTGGCCTGCGGACTGAAGGGTCCCAGGTTCAATTCCGGTAAAGGGCACATGCTGGGGTTGCGGGCTCGATCCCCAGTAGGGGGCGTGCAGGAGGCAGCCGACCAACTATTCTCTCTCATCATTGATGTTTCTATCTCTCTCTCCCTCTCCCTTCCTCTCTGAAATCAATAAAAATATATTAAAGAAATAAGTAAAAAGCAAATTAGGTCATGTCCCTGCCCTGCTTGAAACCCATCACACTTGGAATAAAATCTACACTTGCTATCCTGGCTTGCTAAGACCTATGGGATGTATCCCCACCTAGCTTTCCAGCCTCATCTCACACCACCCTGCTCCTTGCTCACCACACTCCAGCCACTCTGACCTTGGTCCTGCTTCTCCACCATGACGACCTTCCCGCTCAGGGGTCTTTGCTTTCCCTCTGATCTCCGAGTGGCTGACTTCCAGGGGAGGCCTGATGGGCTGTGGGCTTCCCAGGTCTTCTTCACTATTGTGCATTGGGCTCACAAAGGACTCACAGACGATCTGATTTGGGGATACAGCCTACCAGCCCTTCCTCTAATCCTTTCCTTTACAGCTTCACTATTATCACCCAAGTCCCCACCATCACCTCCAGCGCAGTCAAGTTCCTGGCCCGTCTCTGCTCTTTCCTGTCCTCCTCTTGCCTGGCTCGCCCCTGAGTGTCCCAATGGGGCATGGCGTCCTCACCCTCCTTTATCTTTGTATTTCCAGATTGGAGCTTCTCTCTTCGCCAGTAACATCGGAAGTGGCCACTTTGTGGGGCTAGCCGGGACGGGAGCAGCTGCAGGCATTGCCACCGGGGGCTTTGAATGGAATGTGAGTAACATCAGAGACTGTGTCCTGGCGCCGGAAGGAGCTCTAGCAGTCAGTCAGCCGGTTGAACTTGTGCTCAGAGGTAGATGCTGCAGGTATTAGGCAACCTCTCCCCACCACCCTGCGGTGCGTCCTGCTCCCCTCCCACCAGAGTAGCATGAGAAAACCACTGATATGAAGGCTACAGTGGTTCTTTCTTAAAAAGCCAAGCACTCCTCTACCCTTTCAGCCATATTGGAGGTTTGGAAATGCTTATCACCAGATCCCCATTATTGTTGTTGTTGTTATTATTATTATTATTTATTTTTTAAAAGGTCTCTAAATGGTATTTTTCTCCCTGTAAACCGGGGAAGAGGAAAAAGGAGTTGCGATGTCACTGGGCAGTCACCACGGGTCCCCTTCACTATTGCTCAACTACTGTTCCCTTGGGCCAGCCAGGCAGCAAAGACCCCACCAGCCCCGATGGCCACACAGGGAGTTGTCCTCAGAGCCCAAAGAGAAACCGCTGGGGGATTGCTCTGCAGTGGCTGGGGGGCCCCAGGCGGCGTGATCTGACTCCATTTCTTTTTTGGTTTTAGGCCCTGATTTTTGTGGTTGTGCTGGGCTGGATATTTGTCCCTATTTACATCAAGGCTGGGGTAAGTATCTACTGTGTGCGTGTACACATTCACACACACACATACACACACATTTACATACACACACATACACACATACACACATACACATGCACACATACACAAACACACACACATAAACACACATAACACAAGCACACACATTTGCATACATAAACACACATAAACACACACACACATAAACACACACATACACATAAACACATGCTCACGTGCGCACACACACGCGAGCTCAGTCCTCCTAGAAGACAGGAGACTATACAGGATAAACGGCAGAGAAAGCCTGTGCCTCGATAGGGACACTAATTAGACCCACTGAGCCATGCCGCGTCCCTGTAGGAAGCCTTCCTCAGCAGCCTCACTCTAGGCAGAGCCCTCAGCAGCATCCCGTCCTCTCAGGCTGGGTGTGTATTTACAAGGCACTGCCCTGCCTTTGCGCATGAACTGTGGTGTGTGCCTCTGCCCCAGAAGGGAAGCAGCATGAGCAAAGGATCACACTTCCCCTTCATTCACGTCTGGCCGCAGGTTTGTTTGCTGAGTGTGCAACTGGCACTCAGCTACCAAGTGCATGCCCCGACTCTCGAAGAAAGCGCTGCCATTTTACCTAAGGCAGCTTTAGTGTCATCTCTTCAGTGAGATATAATGAGCACCTACTACGTGTAAGTCCATTGAAAGCGATATGGAAGAAACACGGGGCAGATGGTGCAACTTCTGCAGGCTGTCCGTGACAGCTGTGTGATCCCAGGAGACAGCAGGCTCAGGGTTGAGGGACCAAGACAGAGTGTGGTTGGCATTTGCAGAAAGGAACTTGGAGAAGAGCTGAGCAGGCCCGCAGCCACAACCCTTGGCAAGGCCTGTGTGCAGAGCAGGGCAAGCACACACCCAGCCTGGCCACCTTGTTTGGTGCATTGAAAAGGTCTCTAAATGGTGTCTTGTTCACAGTAGGTGCTTTGTATAGGAATATCTATCTAACAACCCCCACCTCCTCCAGGGCACAGATCTGCCTCCTTGGTTATATGTTTATCGGGCACCTTCTATGTCCTGGGATAATACAGTTACATCTGCAGTAAGGCAGGTGGGACTGAAATGAGCAAAGGGCTGGAGGACAGCTGCCTGGCCACATCACAAACTTCCCTGACCAACAAGGGTTAAGCCTAGATCACACTTCTGACACCATTGTGGCCGCCACTGTTCTGCTTGCTCTGGGGCTTCTGGTCACTCTGGCTGGCCGTGACCTCCCTGACATCCCGTGTAGGTGGTGACGATGCCAGAATACCTGAGGAAGCGATTTGGAGGCAAACGAATCCAGATATACCTCTCCGTCCTGTCCCTGTTGCTCTACATTTTCACCAAGATCTCGGTGAGTCCACTGCCTCCCTATCATTGAGCCCGTCTCCTTGCCAACCTGGAGCTGCAGGCCCCGATTTCCAGAGCTGAGACTCCTCAGGGGTTGGCTGGCCATGGGGGTGTATTTAAGAACTGGACAGTGCTCTGGGCTGACCCACTAGAGCAAGACATATATTCCTTCTTCACTTTACTTTTCCTTCCTCAAAAGTGTGCAAATCAACTTCTTTGATTGGCAAAACAAAACAAAGCAAAAGACTCAGGAAACTGCTGAAGTTCAGAGTCTTGGATTTCTTTGAATAGATACCCAGAAGTGGAATCCATGGGTCATTAGGCAGTTCTATTTTTAATTTTTGATGAACTTCCATACTGTGTTTCACAGTGGCTGTACCAATCTGCATTCCCGCCAACACTGCACAAGGGATTCCCTTTTCTTCATAGGTTGTTTTTTTTAATGCTGTTGAGTTGAAAGAGTTTTTATATATTCTGGATATAGACCCCATTCAGATGTATGATTTGCAAATATTTTCTCCTGTTCTGTAGGTTGCCTTTTCACTTTCTTGATAGTGTCCTTTGATGCACAAAAGTTTTAAATCTTGACGGAGTTCATTTTATCTACTTTTACTTTTGTTGCTCATGCTTAAGTCGTCACCGAATTCACTGATTGTGTGACACCAAAAAAATCGATTGACAGATCCAATATCATGAAGATTGACTCCTATGTGAGCTCCTTAGAGGTTTATAGTCTTAGCTCTTCCATTTAGGTCTTTGATCCATTTTGAGTTAATTTTTGTGTATGATGTGAGGTAGGGGTCCAACGTCATTCTTTTGCATGTGGATATCCAGTTCTACCAGCACCATTTTTGTGTTTTTTTGACAAGACTATAATTTCCCCATGGAATGGTGTTGCACATATGTTTTTCACACAACTCATTGAAAACCTGCTCTGGCCCATAGGACTTTGTCTTGGAGTTGGAACTGATGCCTAAGATTACTGTGCCCTCCCTGCCCAGCTTCCTACTTCAAACTGCTACGCCCCTGACTGGTAGCTCTGTGCTTTCCCTGTGCAAGTGATGATTCCACCGCCTCCACTTTTTCCTTCCCTCTTTCGGGGTCAGTTTTCAGTTACAGTCCTATTCCATTAGAGATCAATGTGCGGACACTGCACTGGGAAGTACTGGTGGGAGGCAGGGGTGGGCAGAGAAACCAGCCTTCCTGAGGGGAGAGGGGCAGCAATGTGAGAGGAGGAAAAGAAATGTAAGTGGGGAGGATGGGGAGGTCACCCTGAGCTTGGGGGCAGTTGGTAGGGAACAGTTCCTCAGCTCAGCCTGTGAGCTGTCACCTGTTTAATGAACACGTAGAGCACGGCACTTGGACTCCCCTTCTCAGAAGCACGACTTCTCCAAGTCCACAGTTCAGGCGGGTGAAAGTCTGTTGACTACAGTTGCTATGGAAAGGGCACTTTTTGCCCTCCCAGCGAGTAGAGGGGTAGTCATATAAAGACACGGAGTAGCCAGCCTCACTCCCTGCCTTCCCGACCAACTCTCCTATTGCTCAGTTACCGATTAAACCTCCCAGGACATGGGAGCCCCCAGGTAGCTGAGGGGCAGCCTCCCTCGGCTCAGGTCCTGATGGAGCCCATTCCCTAGCAGTCAGCTTTTCTGGAATTCTGCTTTTAAATGGGGCTTCGTGTAGGATGTTCCCGCTCTGGGTGATTTCCGGGGCTCCTTCGTGGAGGCCTTGCCCAGTGTCCTACCTGCTCCAACTGCTTCCCATCCCCAGCATTCCCTTGAAAAGTGCACAGGACGGACGATCGCTGCTCTTTACTGAGGGCCAATCTATTGAATTATGGGTGCCCCCCACAGATTTCCTTAAATACCGTCGTTACTTTTCTTTTTACAGTTTTAAAAGTTGGGGGAGCAGGAATTTTAAAACACAATGTATTCTTTATGGATCTAGGGATATACATATATGTAGAAAAATATAAAATCATAGACCAGAAGAATACATACCAAGTTTAAGACAGTGTCTGCCTTTTAAGAAGAAAGGAAATAGGTCCGGGGGGAACAGGGGACTAGATGACCTATCCCATCCTGTCATCCTCTGCCTCCATGCCATCCAAGACAGAGCAGGACGGTGTGGAGAACACAGACTCTGGGACCAGGGACACCCAAGATTCAATCCTGGCTTTGCCTCACACCAGCTGTGATTTGGGACAAACTTCTCTGAGACTCGGTTTTCTCTTCCAGGAAATGGAAAATAAAGTTAAAAAAATTCTCTGGGGGACAAAATGCTCTCAATAATGGTCACCCCTGGGCCAAGTCATGGAAGTGGGTCCACTTTTACTTTACTTTTCTTTTTAAAAAAATATATTTTATTGATTTTTTACAGAGAGGAAGGGAGAGGGATAGAGAGTTAGAAACATCGATGAGAGAGAAACATCGATCTGCTGCCTCCTGCACACTCCCTTGGGGATGTGCCCGCAACCAAGGTACATGCCCTTGACCGGAATCAAACCTGGGACCCTTGAGTCCGCAGGCCGACGCTCTATCCACTGAGCCAAACCAGCTAGGGCCACTTTTACTTTTCAATGCCGAACTTTCTGGGTTGTTTATTTTTAAACCATATACATAAGTTATTTTACTTAAAAACTTTTTTTGGATTAAAAAAGACCTTGCCCTCTGCAGAAAATATCCCAGAAAGAAGGACCCTCACCTTTCAAAGTTGTTGGAAAGTTAGTAGACTTGGTGACAGGTAGTCTAGATTTTAGCCCGTGAGCAAGTCACTGACTTTGTTTCTCTCATCTGAAAAGCAGAACCAGTGTACCTGTTCCATCACCTTGTTTTGGGGATCCAAACAATGCTTGTGTCTCTAAACGCTCTTGGTAAAGTGTAAAATCACCCGGATGTGGAGGAAAAAATACCCTACGAAGCACGATACCCAATGGGCACCCAGGAGATCTAAAGGCTAATGTCAGAGCACCCAGGCTAACCTGGGCGTGGCTGTGGTCCCCCAGGCGCTCCTGGTGGCATTCGGGGTCCAAGGGCAGAAGGCATTCCTCCTGAAGTTAGGGGTGACTCATGGGAGGGAGAATTTATCTTAGGGTTTTTTCCTATTTATGAGGGAGTTTTCCTTAGGATTCTTTATGTGCCCAGTTCGCTGGAAGTAGAGTACGTATTATAAAAACCGAGGTTTCTGTTAGCCCAGCACTTTTCGTAAGTGTTTATAGATTTTGTTTATAGCTTATCTTGGGAGTTGTGTGTTATTTATTTGTGACTAATAACAGCCAGGCAAATATTAATGAGGCTATCACAAATATTAATGAGGCTATGATGTGTTGTCATAAAGCATGACAAATTAACTACTCTGGAAAATAAGCCAATCAAGGGTGTTTTAAATGGCAGCAGTAATCTTGGAATATATACATTTTTTGCTCACTATGCTCATTAGCTAATCTATGAATCACACTTAACAGCATTCCACTGAAATCAGTGAACGGAGCCCTGCAGTGGGAGTAACTACGAGAAGATACGGAGCTATGGGAGGGCCGGGAGGGGACTTGGGATTACTCATCACAGTTTCAAGTGGCCCAGTGTGGAGAGTCGGTGCCCATTTCACCCATAGCATGGCTAAGGGGCAGCTGGGGACTCTGCTTTCTCAGCCGCTGCCGCAGAGGGCAGGGTGGACCAGGTCTAGGACCCGGGAAAGAAATATCTTCCTCAATGGCGGGACTTCCCCACTTCCGGCCACTGAGGGTTTATTTATTTATTTTTAAAAGTATATTTTTATTGATTTCAGAGAGGAAGAAAATAGGAGAGAGATAGAGAGAAGTATCAACGATGAGAGAGAATCATGGATCGGCTGCCTCCTGCAAACCCCACAGTGGGGAGCCAGCCTGAACCTGGGCATGTGCCCTGACTGGGAATCAAATCCTGACCTCCTGGTTCATAGGTCGATGCTCAACCTCTGACATGGAGAGGCACAATGTTTTATCCAGTCACTCAGGCCTAGAGTGGCAGCGCTGGGGTTAAATTCCAGGCCCTTTCACCAGCACCCCTGAGGTTGTTGTTGGTGGTGATGGTGATGGGGAGTTCTCTTTGTAAGTCACCATGATTCTCCCTACGTCCTGCTTCTGCCTCATCTCCTCCATCAGGAAATACAATGACATTAGATCCCCTGGGGCTAGAGAATTTGTAGGGGACCCAAGGCATACGGTCCTCTTGGGGGAGGAGGTCATGTATTCACACATAGGCTTGGAGTTGGAGATGACACAGAGGCAGGGAACAGGAGATTTGATTGGCGGGGACCTGAGTCACTGGAGGGTCCTGAGGAGCTGGAAGGAGGCAGAGAGGGGAAGATAAGAATAGAGCACCCATTTCCCAGGGCTCTGAACGGGTGGCCGTTTACATGCCCTGAAATGCATTAGATCTCATGCAATAAAAGATCTCGTCTATTGCATCTAGCGGCAGTCTAGTTTCTTTCCTACCTAGAGAGAGGAAAAGATTCACCTGGTGGTATTTTGGAGATGCCATGAAAATTCTGTTTGGGTGACTCTAGCGCTCTCTGTTGGTTTAAATTAGCAACTGCACTGTCCCGCCAGGTAGAAGGTTCTGTATGTGGCTAAATGAAGCAGGGAGGAGAAAAAGAACTGTATCAAGAACTGGTGAATTTAGGGGTGCAAAGGGAACAATTCTCCCTCCAGTTATATGAGCGAATCTAGATAAAACCACCTCGCACCAAGCCTGCCATGCAAGAGGTTCTTGGCGAGGTTCTGGTTGTGTTAGGGTCAAGATGGACTCCATCTGGACTGGAGAGGTACAGTCATGATGTTGCTCAAATGTCTCTTCGCACCAGGGTGGGGCTGGGGTTTCCCTCCCACGGGACTCTCCAACACGCCAACTTGCTTTTGGGACTAGACCTGAAAAACCTTTGCCCACAAAGGTGTAAACAGTGGATAGTTGCTTAGAGCAGCAGTCCACAGGTTCGTGGGGAGGAACCCCAAGGTATCGATAGTGGTTCCTTGGCCTGGCCTGCGTGGCTCAGTGGTTGGGCGTTGACCTATGAATCAGGAGGTCATGGTTCGATTCCTGGTCAGGGCACAGGCCTGGATTGTGGGCTCCATCCTCCAGTGCGAGGTGTGCAGGAGGTAGTTGATCAATGATTCTTTCTCATCATTGAAGTTTCTCTCTCCCTTCCTCTCCAAAATAAATAAAAAACACACACAAAAAATAATTGTTCCTTGGCAAACAGAGTTCCACAGTTAAATATCTTTGTGGAGGGTCCTTTACTATGCTTCCCTCCTGGGGTTCACAGTACACACTGTGTATTAAAGGCTCAGAGGAGTTGTGTGGTAAAGAAACTGCCTTAACGTTGTTTAATCTGGCATTTCACGGGCCTCTTGGACCATAGCATCCTTTTCTCCTCCTAGAATATCTATTACGACCTTAAATAAAGCTTGTGGAAAGCTTAGGGAGACAGCAGGACTCTCGGGTGTTCGTATCCTTTTGTTTTTATTTCATTGTGAGAGGAACACTCAGCATGTGAGCTGTCCCCGTCACAGGTTTTGAGTGCACCATTCACTGTTGTCGGCTTCTAAGTGCAATGTTGTGCAGCAGACGCCGAAAGCTTGTTCATCTACGTAACTGAGACTCTATGCCGACGGATGAGTAACTCCCCATTCCCCCCAGCACCCGGTACCCACCATCCCAGTCTTTGATTTTATGAATTTGACTATTTTAGATAGACATGGAATTATGCAGTACTTGTCTTTCATATTCTTAACCGGGGTTAAAAAGATAAACCTTTGATTGTGGAATTTCAGCCAAAGGGCAAATGAGTGTGGGTCAATACTAGACCCTAGGAATCACTGGCACTGACATTCCCCAGGAGACAGCTTCTTCTGGCTCCTTCAAGTTCACCTCCTGGCCCTGCAGCCAGCTGGTCTCTCTCCCCCCTAACGCACCTCTCCTCTCCTTCCAGGCAGACATCTTCTCTGGGGCCATCTTCATCAACTTGGCCTTGGGCCTGGATCTGTACCTGGCCATCTTTCTCTTATTGGCAATCACTGGCATTTACACCATCACAGGTGAGTTATTCAAATGACTTGACTCAAGCCCAGTCCAGGGGGAGGCACTTGTGAAGGAGAGAAGGGAGTGTCTTCTCTCGAGGAAAAAAGATACACCCAGGAAACAGATCGAGGATGGGGGGGTTGGCTTGTACAATGATTTGGTAATCATAGATCCTGACAAGTTATACCGGTTGCCCCCAGAAAACTCCAAGGTTGGATGGAATAGTCAACACAGCTTCTTCCAGGAGGCGGGGCAGGGCTTGCCCTTGCAGGTTGTGAAGAGAGAACTTGGCTAAGTTGGGAAAGTCAGGGAGGGAGTGCCAGGTGCAGGGACAGGTGAGAGCAAGGAATGGAGGCAGGAATGGGCATGACGCAGGGCAGAGGCAGGGTGAGAGCAGATGCATTTAGTTGGAGGAGGGTGGTCAATGGGAGGTAGGTGTGTGTGTGTGGGGGGTATGATAGGGCCTGATAATTCAAATGAGGTCACAGGGCAGGGGCCTTAGAAACCAAACAGGGGTCTTGGAATTGATGTGACCAGGACTGGGAGGCACTGTGAGGAAGAAAGAAGGGAGTGACACATGCAAAGAGATTTTAGAGAAAGACTCAAGAGGTGACAGGGGAGTCTGATGACATGAGTAACAACTGGGGGCACCTCTGAGGAAGTGTTGCTCTGCCCAGTCCAGGGGCCAGGCTCAGTGATGGAACTTGCTGCTCAACTGGAGCTTCATATGAGCTTTGGGAACAAGAAGTACTTAGAGGGTCTGAGAATAGGGTCAACATACAAGTAGCCCTTTAAATGTGTCCATTTGGTAATGTCCTCAGGCATTTTGTACAGATGTCAGCTCTTTGCTCTTCCTGCCTTTATTTGTGGCAGACGTCCTTTCTTTCTTCCTTCCTTTCTTCCTTCCTTGCTCAACTGGAGCTTCATATGAGCTTTGGGAACAAGAAGTACTTAGAGGGTCTGAGAATAGGGTCAACATACAAGTAGCCCTTTAAATGTGTCCATTTGGTAATGTCCTCAGGCATTTTGTACAGATGTCAGCTCTTTGCTCTTCCTGCCTTTATTTGTGGCAGACGTCCTTTCTTTCTTCCTTCCTTTCTTCCTTCCTTTCTTCCTTTCTTCCTTTATTTGTGGCAGACGTCCTTTCTTCCTTCCTTTCTTTCTTTCTTTCTTTCTTTCTTTCTTTCTTCCTTCCTTCCTCCCTTCCTTCCTTCCTTCCTTCCTTCCTTCCTTTCTCTCTCTCTCTCTCTTCTTTTTTAAAAATATATTTTTATTGATTTCAGAGAGGAAAGGGAGAGGGAGAGAGAGAGAGATAGAAACATCAATGATAAGAGAGAATCATTGACCAGCTGCCTCCTGCATGCCCCGCACTGGGGATCGAGCCCGCAACCCGGGCCTGTGCCCTGACTGGAAATCGAACCATGACCTCCTGGTTCCTAGGTCGATGCTCAACCGCTGAGCCACACCGGCTGGGCCAGATGCTTTTTCTTACTACAGAGGAGCCATCTCCTGCCTTAAAAGGATCACATCGAGCTCCTCCTCCTCCAATAGGGAGAAACATTTCTCCTTTCCTCAAGGTCTTCCCAGCATTGCTGTGATGAGTGGAGATGTTGGATCATGCTGGGTGGCAGACTGTTGTCACAGGACAACAGGAGGAAGGGAGGGGAGGCGGGCGACTGAGGGGTGTGCAGAGCGAGAGGGGCAGCGGTGGGTCAGGAGTAGGCTGCCTGGTCGCTCTCCTGCGTGAGGTCAGATACATTGTCTCCTTGTCCGCGTAGGGGGCCTGGCGGCTGTGATTTACACGGACACCTTGCAGACGGCCATCATGCTCGTGGGGTCTTTCATCCTGACCGGGTTTGGTAAGTGGGGCTGCGGAGGCGGGGAGGCTGAGGGAGAGGCCCAGGGAGAGAAAATCAAGTCCAGGGTCTCTGCCTGCCTTTCCCAGGGAGTGGTCCAGCCCAGAGCGGCCATCACTGTGGGTGTGCAGGCGGCACCTTCCTCGGCCCTGGAGGTCCCAGGGTGGGCCTGACCCGGACAACACCTGTATTCCCTGCTACCCCCTCTAGACACTTGGGGCCAGTGGTCCCCACTGTGAGTCTGTGATGATGTAGTCTCCTCTCCACAGAGAAACTGGATAGAAAAAAAAAAAAAGGTTAAGACTAAATATTAAATATATTCAAATGTGTCTTAAATCTCAGGTTATATCTTATCTACATTTTGGTGTCAAATGTCCTTTCTTTTATGAATCGATGATAGTGAGTGATTATTTGCTTGCTTATGTCCTTATTTGACAACATTTTTAAAGCTCAGCCACTCTCTATTGGCCCCTCTGCCCCCTAATGTTGTAAACTGTCATCTGTCTGCGGAACCCTAAAGGCAAGGCTAGACACCCTCACTCTAGAGGCAGTTGATATGGGAGGGTAGAAAATGCATTGTATTCTGAAGGGGCCCAGGTTCTCGGGGTGTCCTGTGAAGCCTCTAAGAGCTTCCATTGGGTTTCCCCAGCGGTGCCCCTGGGGGATTGTGGGAGGGGGGGGCGGGGGGCGAGGGGTGAGCAGAGGAGGCTGTTGGCAGGACAGGGACTGGAATGCCTTCTTCAAGGACACAGTCACCAGGGGGCTGGGCTACAGGCTCCTCGCCCATTCTTTCCTCATCCCTGCACTTGGCTGGGACCAGGGGTGGCAGGGCCTAGTCTGTGTCTCTAGTCTGTGTCTGGGATCCCAGAGGCCACTGCTGACAGTAGAGGGGGAGGGGAAAACAGAGTTTTTGAACCTGGTTCCAAACCAAGGTCTTTCTTCTAATAGGCCAAGTGGCTTTCCTTTGTAACGATGCTTAGGGTTGGAGTCCTTTCACGGGTCATTGCTTTGGAGGAGGCTAGGCAGGGGTAAGGATGACAAAGCCGAGGCCAGAGAGTGACTTGCCCGAGCCCACACGGAGGGCTCTGGCTGCGGGGCAGGACCTCTCGGTGTCTCGGGCGTCCACAGGGGAAACTGCCGTGAAGAATGAAGAGTTTCGGGATGGTAATTTTTATGACTGATGTTTTTCAGCCTTTAATGAAGTGGGAGGGTATGAGGCCTTCATGGAAAAGTACATGAAGGCCATTCCGACCAACGTTTCTGATGGAAACATCACCATCAATAAGGAATGCTACACGCCCAGGAACGACTCCTTCCACATCTTCCGAGACCCCCTCAAGGGAGACCTGCCATGGCCGGGGCTCATCTTTGGGCTGTCCATCCTCGCCCTGTGGTACTGGTGCACAGATCAGGTATCCGCACTGGATGTGCAGGGGGGACAAGGTCTCCCCCGGGGTGCTGCAGGAACTCCTGTCTGTCTGTCTGTCTGTGGCTTGTGGGGTTGGGAAAGGTAGGGCAGGGCTCACGTGGTCTGGGGGTCACTGAGCCTTGGTAACATGGGAGTGCCAGGCCAAGTACCCAGGATGTGGGGGAGGGGAGCTGGGGTGGCCAGAAGGCGTCAGGACAGGCACCTCACCCCGTCTTTCCTGCCAGGTCATTGTGCAGCGCTGCCTGTCAGCCAAAAACATGTCTCACGTGAAGGCGGGCTGCGTGATGTGTGGGTACCTGAAGCTGCTGCCCATGTTCCTCATGGTGATGCCAGGAATGATCAGCCGCATCCTGTACACAGGTGATGCCTTCTGCTGGACTCAGTGGCCACTCTCCCCCATTCCTGGCTCTGAGCCACTTCAAAAGCCCTGTAGTTCCCTGGTCCTTCTGTTCCTCCTCCTCCTCCCCCTCCTCTTTCTTCTCCTCTTCCTCCTCCTTCTTTTCTTGCCATGCATTGCCAAGTATTATTGATCTCCCCCAGTGGTTCTCAACCTGTGGGTCACGAACAATGAAAATACATCCTGCATATCAGATATTTACATGATGATTCGTAACCGTAGCAAAATTACAGTTAGGAAGTAGCAATGAAAATGATTTTATGGTTGGGGGTCACCACAATATGAGGAACTGTATTAAAGGGTCGCGGCATTAGGAAGGTTGAGAACCACTGCTCTAGACAGTGAGCAACTTGAGGTCACAGAAGCCACAGAATTGCCTTCCCTGGTTTTTGCAAATTCTCTGAACCAGGAGGTCACAGTTCAATTCCTGGTCAGGGCACATGCCCAGGTTGCAGGCTCGATCCCCAGTGTGGGGTGTGCAGAAGGCAGCTGATCAGTGATTCTCTCTCAGCATTGATGTTTTTATCTCTCTCTCTCTCTCCCTCTTTCTACCGTTCTCTGAAATCAGCGAAAACATATTTTTAAGAAAGAAAGTGAATCTTGAACGTATTTCCCTGATGTGTGCTCGCTGACATGGCTCTTCATCTCTCTCCAGATAAAATTGCCTGTGTTCTTCCCTCGGAATGTGAGAAACATTGCGGCACCAAGGTTGGCTGTACCAACATCGCCTACCCGACCATGGTGGTGGAGCTCATGCCCAATGGTGAGATTCGTCCCCACTGGCGGGGTCTTTCTTAGAAGGCTGATTGGGCTCAGGCTACTCATGGATTCTGTGGGCCTTCTGGGCAAGGCCATTTCCATGCCTGGAGGTCAGTTGGGGAAGCCTCATTCCAGGTGTCCTCAGTTTTTGAGTAGGTCTTACCTGTGGCAAGCAGACATAGGACTAGGTTTGGCTCTCAGACCTGGCACTGGTCTGTTGTCAGTCAGGCTCGGAAAGGAGATGATCTGAAAATGCATTAGGGAAAACCATGGCTTTTCCATGTTCCTCTGGAAGGTCTTTCCAAGTTCTCCCACAGATGTTGACATGGCGGCTTGAACTAAGTGGAGTTTTACCTGGAGAATGAATGAAAAACATGGATAGAAAGGCAAGGAGTGGTTTTAGCTCTAGAATGAGGACGTGTGAGGTAGTTGATGGATGGGATACAACTTCTCACTATAGAGAATGTGTTCTCCTAGAAGACTGAGAACATAGAGTCCACTTTGGTTAGAGTTTTGGGGTAGATCTGTGGGGTTACTTTTCATATTGCATAAGGAAGAAAAATCTAATTCTGGCTCAAGAGATGCAGATTTAATTAGGTTCGGGGGTCTCAGGAGATCCAAAATTCAAAGGTACTGGCCAGGAAAATTTAGAAGAAACTTCTACACAATTTTATTATTGAAAGAAAATGTAGAGATCATCTCATCAAACTTCTTCATCCTGCAGTTGGGGTCCACAGAAGGAAAGTGACTTTTCCAAGCCACACAGCAACTCAGCGTCTGGCTTGTATAATTCTGCTCAAGCCTGGAATTGAGGAATTTGAGATGGTCTTTAAAAAAAAAAAAAAAAAAGACTGGATGCATGACCTTGGGCAAACCATTTGGATTCAAATTCTATAAACATGGGAGTAATAGTTAACTATTCCACTTAGCTGGGCTGCTTATTAATTAAGGTTGCAATTAGTAAGAGTCGCATGGCTCTTTTATTTTACTTTTTAATTGTTTTGTTAATCCTTGTCAGAGGATATTTCTCCATTGATTTTTAGGGAGAGTGGAAGGGAGAGGGAAAGACAGAAACATCGATGTGAGAGAAACACATCGATTGGTTGCCTCCTGATCAGGGCCCGGGCTAAGAAGGAGCCTGCAACCAAGGCATGTGCCCTTGATCAAAGAAAGAACCTGCAACCAAGGCATGTGCCCTTGATCGAAATCGAACCTGGGACCCTTTGGTCTGCGGGTCAACCTTCTATCAACTGAACCTAACCGGCTAGGGCAAATCCTAGTTTAAATATTTCTGCTATGTCATGGATCTTTTGAATTAGAGATCTTATAAAAGTCCGCTCAGATGGAAACACACACACACACACACACACACCCCATCACCACCATCATCCAACTGCAAAGTGTTAACCTCATATATATTTTATTCCTACCTCCTGTTGACTGCTGTGGGATTGCAATATAATGTAAAGCCACAGTCCATTCCTTAAAATGTCTTGTTTTTCTGGAGAGATACATCAAAGGCCAACCACGGCATGATTTCAGAAAGCAAACAAACATTGAGTCCTCCCATGTTCCAAGTGCGAAAGAGCTGAGGTGCGGTGGGTACCACTCAGAACCCCCTTCTCTTCCAGGGCTGCGAGGCCTGATGCTGTCAGTCATGTTGGCATCTCTCATGAGCTCCCTGACCTCCATCTTCAACAGCGCCAGCACCCTCTTCACCATGGACATCTACACCAAGATCCGGAAGACAGCAACGGAGAAAGAGCTCATGCTTGCAGGAAGGTAAATGAAGCTCCCACCTGCCCCCACCAGGAAGCGTGAATAATTACTGTATAGGGTTCCCTCTAGCTAGGGAAGACGGCGGATGCTTGGGTAGCGTGGGAGTAGCCTCTGTGGCCAGTTACATTTTCCTTCCAGTGGCATCAGCTTTGAAATGCCCTTTTGGAGTGAGAAGTGACATCAGGGACCATCTAATCTAACTCCCAATTTGTCAATGAGCAAAATGAGTGCTTACTATTGCTCATCTATTTGCCCACTATTGGTTTGACTTATGGGAGGAAAAGCCTCAAGAATGAATTTGCTAATTATGTTTCCTTGCTGTGGTCACATTGTGTGTGTGTGTGTGTGTGTGTATACATACTTGCTCATTTTATATATATCCTAGAGGCCCACTGCACAAAATTCGTGCATGGGTAGGGTTGCTAACGGCTGCCCGCTGGGGTCTTCCTTTGTTACGCGCTGCCCCTTGGTGGTCAGCGCCGGTCATAGCAAGCAGTCGAACTCCTGAGGGAACACTTTGCATATTGGACAATTTGCATGTTAGCCTTTTATTATATAGGATGTACCGCATTTTGGTGATCTACTCACCAGTTGATGGATATT